TCAGCGTTCAGACTGTAGCTGAGCCAACATTCAGACTGTAGCTGAGCCAACATTCAGACTGTAGCTGAGTCAGCGTTCAGACTGTAGCTGAGCCAACATTCAGACTGTAGCTGAGTCAACATTCAGACTGTAGCTGAGTCAGTATTCAGACTGTAGCTGAGTCAACATTCAGACTGTAGCTGAGTCAACATTCAGACTGTAGCTGAGTCAGTATTCAGACTGTAGCTGAGTCAACATTCAGACTGTAGCTGAGTCAACATTCAGACTGTAGCTGAGTCGTTCAGACTGTAGCTGAGTCGTTCAGACTGTAGCTGAGTCGTTCAGACTGTAGCTGAGTCAACATTCAGACTGTAGCTGAGTCAGTATTCAGACTGTAGCTGAGTCAACATTCAGACTGTAGCTGAGTCATTCAGACTGTAGCTGAGTCAACATTCAGACTGTAGCTGAGTCAGTATTCAGACTATAGCTGAGTCAACATTCAGACTGTAGCTGAGTCGTTCAGACTGGAGCTGTGCATCAGGTTCCATCAGGAGGTTCTCGCTCCTCCTCAGGTTGTTGTCAGCAGGATTAGAGCAGAACTTTGACCCGTGAAGAACAAACCCAAACAGAACCCCTGAGTTGGGACAAAGCACAGAGCTGCACGTCCAGTCATGTTCAGTAGAACAAAGGAGAACGTTGACAGATCTGCCTCCAACAGGTGATTAAACCAGGTGTGGCTGAACCCACATGGAGCAGGTTTCTGTGGACCTGGAGGTGAACATGAAGTCTGTCTGAACCAGAACCCTGAGGATCCTGAACCCAGTCTGTTCAGCTGACTGAGTCCTCCTCAGGTTGTTTTTGTTTGTCTTCAGAACCAGAACCAGAGCGGGTCTGGCCTGCAGCAGCAGCGGGTCAACACGTGCATCACATGAGAGCCAAAGACACGAGTTCTGCTCTCAGTTATTATTAGCTGTGAGCAGACACAACCTGGCCCATAAAAGGTTCTGTCCCGGCTCCTCGGGTCGACAGGTGGAAACAAACACTCTGAGGGTCTGTGGGTCCAGTTGGGTCGGAACCACAGATAATCAGAACCAGAACTTTTTCTGAGCTGCAGAACAGAAATAAGACTGAACCTGAAAAACCTGAGAAAATACTCTTTATCAGAACCACTTTAACGGATCAGAACCACTTTAACGGATCAGAACCACTTTAACGGATCAGAACCACTTTAACGGATCAGAACCATGTGAACAGATCATCTGAAGTTAAATATTAAACTGGGATTAAACTAATAATCGAATTAATCAGTCAGATTAGTGATCTCCTGTGGTGTTCAGGTAAATAAGGCACACGCGTGTCGGGGGTCCCTGTGACCAGCAGGACCTGTTGGATCTGGGTCAGACCGGGCCCAGGAATCTCTGGTATGTTTCTGTGCAGCAGAGGAGGACGGACACAAACTCTGACCCAAAAACAGGCTCACATGACCCGGCTGCACTTCTTCCAGCTTCATGGACAGAACCAGAACCAGAACCAAAACAGAACGCCCACAACACCGCACGCCTGAGGCGAGGTGAAGGACCACAACAAACCTCCATGGTTCTGGATCAGAACAACCAGGATCAGATTGGAGGAGAACCTTCAGCTGGTTCTGCAGAACCGTTCTGCTGACAGAACCAGAACCAAGAGCTGAAGAACCAAAATCACAGCAGCTGAAAGATCTAAACATTTCACAGACTGCAGAACCAGTGAGATCAAAGAACAGGTGAGGAGCAAACAGAATGCTGACTCAGCGTTTCTCTCTCCTCTGAACCTGCAGGGATCAGCACCAGAACCGGACCACTCAGATGCACAGACTGAAAACTAAACCCAACAGAACCAGAACCCGACTCAGGTGTGAACAGAACATGACTCAGGTGTGAACAGAACATGACTCAGGAGTGAACAGAACATGACTCAGCAGTAAACAGAGCATGACTCAGCAGTAAACAGAGCATGACTCAGCAGTAAACAGAGCATGACTCAGAAGTAAACAGAACATGACTCAGAAGTAAACAGAACATGACTCAGCAGTAAACAGAGCATGACTCAGCAGTAAACAGAGCATGACTCAGAAGTAAACAGAACATGACTCAGAAGTAAACAGAACATGACTCAGCAGTAAACAGAGCATGACTCAGCAGTAAACAGAGCATGACTCAGAAGTAAACAGAACATGACTCAGAAGTAAACAGAACATGACTCAGCAGTAAACAGAGCATGACTCAGCAGTAAACAGAGCATGACTCAGAAGTAAACAGAACATGACTCAGAAGTAAACAGAACATGACTCAGCAGTAAACAGAGCATGACTCAGCAGTAAACAGAGCATGACTCAGAAGTAAACAGAACATGACTCAGAAGTAAACAGAACATGACTCAGCAGTAAACAGAGCATGACTCAGCAGTAAACAGAGCATGACTCAGAAGTAAACAGAACATGACTCAGAAGTAAACAGAACATGACTCAGCAGTAAACAGAGCATGACT